TGCAGGCAGTGGTGGGATTAGGAAGGGCCTTGAATGCCAGTTTTGAAGTGTGGGCTTTGAATCCTAGGCAGTGGAGACCATCAGAGATTTGATGCAGGAGAATGAGGATGGGGATACACGTTTTATAAAGATCCCTCAGGCTGCAGATGTTGGGGCTGAAAGCTACGGCACTAGTCCAGGCAGGAACCGATGAGGCCTGGCCCCCACCTACATCCCCCAGCTCTTCTCCTGATGCCCCAGGGTCCCTTGCTGCAGCCACACCAGGCTTCGTGTAACCTTGAACAAGCCAGGCATTTTCATGCCTCTGTGCTTCTGCACACACTGCTTCTACTTTCCGGAATGCTTTTATTCTACCTCTGTCAAATTCTTACCTAACCTCAAAGGCCCACCTCTACTCCAGCTACAACCTCCCCTGAAACTCTTCCCTGGGATCAGTAGACTTGGCTGGGAATCTGGATGGGAATTTTCCAGTTTTGTGTGTCTGGAGTTCAGAGGGATAATGAGGATGTTTAGAATAGAGAAATAAGTAGAAGAGGAAGTCCAAAGTCCGCCTGAATTCCTCAGTGATAAGGGCTAGAGGGAGCTGCCCTAGCCCTGGCCCTGGCCCTGTCCTCCAAAGGGCAACGGTTGACCAGATGGCCCAAGGCAAGAGCGCGGGATTGATGCACTCCCTACCAGTGGTCAGAGACCTAGGTCCCTCCGGGGATGCGCATTTGCTGAGTGACCTCAGGTCCCTCTTGGGATCTCTGTTTCCTCCACCCATCTCCAGATGGGGCCCAGCTCTCAACTAAATTGTAGTGAAGGTAGAACTCATCTTCCAGACCAACCCTACTGTATTCAGGGATACCCCAGGCTCCCAGGTTGCCATGGGGGTGCCTGCCCTTCCTCTGCACACTGCCTCTCAGAAAAATCTCTGTGGCTGCTGGGGGAGCAGAGTTGGCTAGAGGAGTTAACCCAACACCCCTCCACCCTCAGAAAGTACCAGGCAGAAGCCTCCAGGAGCCCTGTGATGCCCTGCAGTGATTGGAAAAGAAGTGTGTTTTGGCAAACAGCGTGGCCATCACCTTGGCTTAAGAGGGCTCAGCAAATGAGAGCATCCATTGTCCTCTCCACAGAGCACAAGTCTGGACTCTTGGTTACAGGGACAGAAAACTCAACTGGCTCAAGCCATAAAGAAAGGTATTGAGTCATGTTGCTGGAAGCAGAGTTGGTTTCAGGCATGGCTGCATTCAGGGGCTCAGACAATATCAAAAGGATCCAGTTTTTCTCCATCTCTTTATTCTGCCTTTAGCTGTATGACTTTCATCATTGTGTTCTACTTGGCAACAAGATGGTGGCAGTAGTTCTAACCCCTATGTCCTTTGAGGTTTCCAGTCCAGTGGGAAAGGACAAATCTACTTAAATGTGCCTAATCTCTTAATCCAAAGTCCCAGGAATGAGCTTTCTGGCTCTGAGGAGCCTGACTTGGACCATGGGCCAGGCACTATGGCCAGGGATGCTCTGACTGGCTCAAGCCTGGTCACATGTTGATCCTCTGGAAGAGGGTTCATCAGAACCCCATGGACTAAGAGTGGGGAAGGATGTAGTTTCCCACACAGAGATGAGGATATGGAATCAGAAGAGGGTAAAGGATGATAGAAGATGTTGCCTACCATCAACTCTGCTTTTATGTTGTGGGGTGCTGGCAGTTGAAAATGGGCAGGAGAAGCAGACAAGGCTGGGGAAGCAGCAGAAGGCAGAACAGACCCTGTTGCTGGAGGACAGTGGGCTGGGAAGGTACCATGGGGAGAAGCAGGCTCCAAGCAATCAAGAGAGGCCAATGGTGAGCCACAAGCTGGGGTGGCCAGTCCCCAGGTTACTCTTCCAGAGGCCACCTCTCAGATCCTTCTGGCCACCCCTCTTCCCATGTCCTAGCCGGATAAGCCAGACACAGATCCCTTAAGACAAAACATGGCAAGTCTTTCCATCTCAGTGACCCTTTGGGCAAGAGGAAAAGCATGTGACCCCAAAGAGGGACCACAACACAGTATTTCCTTAAATCTCGTATCTTTTCTTTTAAACAGCTATACAAACAACTGTATCCTGTTTCATAATAGATTTGGGTTAACTTTTGATATGCCAAGTTTTAAATGACTTACCAGCTAATATCTACTCTGACTGGTTGGTACAGGTGACGGTTCAAAATGGAACCCAGGTTCACCGTGTGGCTTTAAGGCTCGTGGCACACAGGCGAGCGAAGTCTGGGTGCTGGGGAGTCCGAGATGCATCCTGGACAAGGAGGCCTTCCCTGGGACCTGGGCTAGGTCAGCCGTGTTGCTCGGCTGCATGTGGGAAAGTGAGACAATGAGGACCTCTGTGACAATGAGGCTCCACCAAAGCCTTCAACCAGGGATGAGAGATGAGAGCACTGTTGAGGTGGAAGGGACCCAGCAGTGTGGCCTCCTGGACACTGGGTTGTCTGTCTTCAGCTTGGATCCCCCAACCCACTACAGCAACGGAGAGCTCACTGGCGCCTGGGATGCTTATATCTCAGTGGGGCTGACTTACTTAGAATCAGGTCAAAGTCACACTCTTGGTGCCTGCAGGCCAGAAGGGGACCCCGTTAAAGGAAGGAAATAAGGGGAACCCCCCACCTAGGCTCTCCCCACAGCCTGACTGCAAGAAGACTTTGAGTCAGCAGGGGAGGTGGTGGAGGCACTGAGGCCCAGGGAGGTGAGGACCTCGTCCCAGAGTGAGGGGGACCGAGCTGGAAGACACTGAGAGGCTCTGATTCTGGAGAAGTCTCGCTGGTCTCACGCCACAGCCCTGCTGAGGGCTGTGATGTTCTTCTCCAAAGGTAGAGATAAGGAAGACAATGTGGGGTGGCAGCCACTTTCCTAAAGCCAAAGAGACAGGCAAAAGCTGCCACCAGCCCAGTGGTTCTTCCATAGAGGCCTTTACCCACTTTCCCAACCCAGTGGCTCCCAAGACCTGGTTTCTGCTGGCTGTTCCTGGGCAGCTATCACCCCTACTCACATGTTGGCCCCAATGCCAATGTCTCTCCCTGGTGCACAGGTCCGACCCCACCCCTGGTCCCTGGCCAGGGCACAGGGGAGAGAGCTGGGGAAGAAGCCTGGGCTTTCCCATCCCTTCTCCCCACCTCCCAGAAAGAGGGGGACTGATAGGATTGTGAGCCATCCTAGAGGCCACCTTACTTCCTGAGACTCCCCTCTCGCCCTCATTAGATCTGATAAAGCTTCAGTTATTCAGAAGCTTAGGAGGCAGGTGAGGTCTGGGCAAGGAGGACCAGTGTCCCCTTCCCAGCCTGGTGACCCAGGGGACTGAGCACAGGCTCCTAGATTGGGGACAGAGGCTGGAAGATACAGCCAGACTCCTGGATTTCTCCCAGACCTGGCCCCAACGGGGCCCCATTCATCCGTGGAGACTGAGGCAGGGACCAAGGACTCCCAACCCAAGCTGGAGGGTGGCAGAGTCCAGTAGGCCAGCTCTGTGCTCTAAGGAGAGGCCCTCTGACCTCTGAACAGAGTTGTGCCATCCACAAAGAAATAATGCTGCTGTTCAACAAAAAAAAGAAAAAAGAAAGAAGGAAATAATGCTGCTGTTACAGCCACAGTATGTCGGAACCACCAGGAAGCCATGACAGGGCCCTCAAGGCAGACCCTGCTTTGGGGACAATGGACAAGAATTTGGGGTCAGGTCCAAGTCAGGGTCAGGCTTCGGTCTAAGATCAAATTCAGTCTGGGGTTGGGATTGGGGTTCAGTCTGGAGCTTGGATCAGTTGAGTAAGTGGGCCGTGCTTGGCCCCATGCTCCTGGGGTCCGAGGATGACAGGCAGGCTGTGGATGAGGCTGATGGGTCCCCCTCCCTGTCTCTGTCCCCCAGGGTGGCTGGGCATTCAGGCTGCAGCAGGAGGAGTGTGACTATCTGCAGATGATCAAGGTACAGCACACGCAGTGCCTGGAGGAGGCCCAGCTGGAGAATGAAACAGCAGGTGAGGCCCCTGGTGGGAAGAGCAACCCCCCTCCCCCTTTCACTTACACCGTGAGCCCAGATCCTGGTCACATTCATTCCACATTTGTGGGATGGGGATGGCACCGAGGAGCTGCTGGGTGCTGAGGAGAGGGTACTGGGAGGAGCTGGGGAGCCACTGGAAGAAGGAAGGGCTAGCAGGCCTCTGTGGTCCCATCACCCCACCCTAGGTCTGGGAAGCTCCCCACTGTTGGCTGGGGAGATCATACTAAACTGGGGTTCTGAAAAGTGAGTGGAGCCAACTCTGCCTTTGGGGGGGCCCTACCCCTTTTCTCCAGGAAAAGCAGAAATGGCATCCATGGCTGCCAGCCCACCTGAGAAGAGAGGTGGAAGCCTGTGCCAGTGAGGACCCCTGGCCTTGTCCAAAAAAGGGCTGGGGTAGCTGGCTGGTGGGAGCGCTTCTGGGTCAGATTTCTCAGCCTCTGACTTAGTTGGAGCTGAGATACAGAGAACTGGCCCCAGAATACCATGCTCTGGGATTAGGCCATTGTTCTGTGTGAGCATCTCAGAGGGAGAGCAGAGGACATTCGGTGACAGGATGTGACCACCACAGGGCACATGGGAGCTCACAGCCATCTGGGGGGCCTAGAGCAAGAAGGGGCCCCAGGCCAGTCTGCACAGGACTAGAAGACTCACCACAGCAGGGGACACTGAGGCCAGGTCTTCCAATACTAGGCTCTGCCAGCCAGCACGACACCCAGAGTGTCATGTGACACAACACATGGAGGTCCCTAGGCACAAACACTGACCTTCCTATCCCAACCCACCCTTCACAGGCCACATGAAGCATCAGCTCATTAGCCTGCTGATAAAACAAGTCAAGGTCACACTCATGAGGCTGAGCACATGGGAGCCCAGCTTCTCCTTTCTGGGAAAGGTCTGGCCTGGCAGGGTGAAGGTTGGTGCCAGGGGCACCTTCAGGTGAAGGCTGCCCAGCTGCAGGAGCAGCCAATCAAATGACAGCACCTTCTAGTCTTCAACCCGCCACCCTGTGTGCCCCACACTTGGTTCAGCAGCTCTAGGGTAAGAAGGGGAGGAAATACAGACAGCTTCCTTGGAAAGGGGCCACTTGATCCAGACTCAGAAGGGCAGGCAGGATTTGGAGGGAAGTTGGAGGCACCATGGGTGACTGCCCATGGAGGGTAGGGAGTGGGTATGGGGTTGGAGGCTCACGGAGAGGGAGGGGGAGGGATGGAGCAGTGGGGTGCCTGTGCCAACTCTGGGCCTCCCTCCCAGGTCACGTCCCTAAGACCCAGCTTGCAGTTTGTTACACTCAGGAGTAGGGAGCATCTTCTCTTCCTGGCTCCCCAGTACCTCCATCTGAGGCCGACAGTTATACACCCCTTCCTGGGTCCTTCCTTCTGGGCCCTAGTGCTCAGGCTCTCTGCCTCCTGCACTGTTGAGTGTGTGTGGCATCATGGATGGCCTTTGCCTCTCCCAGCTCCCAAGGAGAGCTGCCCTCTGTGTCCCAGGCCCCTGAGACTGGCCTGGGTAGAGGGGTGGTGGTACCTGCCTGCTGCTTATGTGCCCCACACCACCACCCAGAACAGGAGGCAGGACCAGGCTGCAGACAGGCCTCAGAAGACCCCAAGGGTGGGATCTGGGATCATGGCCGGCCCAGAGAGGCCCACACCACACACTCTAGGCCCCACTGTAGCACTTCCCAGGCCCTGAGGGCCAGCCACCCTCGTGATCCTAGTGAGGTCACTGCTGGCACAGGGTGCCTGTCGGGTGCCAACATCCTGTCACCAGGCAGCCAGCCTGGGATCCAGAGAAGGGCACATATGGGTCTGTGGGCAGTGAGTCTGCCCTGGCCTTGTGAGGGACTCTGTGCACGTTCATGTCTACACATGTGGGTCTGTAAGTGGCCTGTGTCTCTCTGTGCCTGCGTTTGCTTGTGTCTGGTCGTCCCATGTCCAAGTAAGAGTACACATCTGTATGTTTGCATGTGTGCCTGTGGCTCTATGTACTTGGAGGTGCTTGTCAGTGTGTGTGTCTCTGTGCACACACGTCTATCAAATGACACAGCAGAGGCCCCCACCCTGCCTCACCATCTCCCACCACAGGCTCTGGGCTGGGCTTTCTTTCCTGTTGGGGTGGCAGCCCCCAGTGGGCATGCACAGCCAGCCTCTGTCTCCTGGGGGCCTGGTGACGTGTGATGCGACACACATTCAGAGAATGTTCCCAGGCAGAGCCCACAACAATAGGCTCTCCAGGCACCCAGCATTTTCTCGGCTGTCACCCCCTCTCAGCTTCCTGACCCTGCTATCTCCTGCAGGAAGCTTCCCTGACCACATCCCCCCTACTAGCCTCTCTTCCCTGGCTCCCCTGACCAGCACAGTTCATAGCCCAGCCCTGGTGATGCCGAGATTCCCTGAGGAGAAGCATGGCCACCCCCAGCGCAGGGCCCAGCCTCCCTCCCCTCTGTGCTGCTTCTGGTGAGGCTGAGCTCAGGGCCAGAGACCCAGCTCTGAATCCACTCCTGACCTGGGCTACCGCTAAAGATCCAGAGAGCCCAAAGCCTGGCAAGGACCCAGACACAATAGCCAGTCTGCAAGACAGGGTGCCCAGTGTCGTCAGGGCTATTCACGATCCGGCTAAGCAAAATTCCCAGAGAAACAGCATCCAGCCCTTCAGAACAGGCAGAGTGCTAGAGGTTTGCGGGAGACAGAGCTTGTGAACAGGCTGTCCCACTCGCCAGCGATGTGACCTGGGGCTGTTTACCTAATTGCTCTATGTCTCAGTTGCTTATCTGTAAAATAGGAAGGTTAAATAAGTTATTCATGTAAAGAGGGTAGAAGAGTGTCTCTCACATATAAAGGCTACTTAAGTGTTTGCTGATGATATTATTAACAGTCTTAAATCGCCAGCAGGATTTGGCTGGCCTGAAGGGCACCTACATGAGCTTCAGAGAGGCTGGCATAGGAATGGAGAGAGGGCTGGAGCTAGAGGAGGCCACAGAAGACCCCGGCTAGGATGGGAAATAGTGGATGGCGCCCCCAAGGCAGGGAGACTGTGCTCTCTGACCAGGCCCCAGGGATCCAGGTGTTCTCCGCCTTCAGCTGCAGGTGCCACCGGAAGGTACTCCTCCCTGCTGCCAGCCCGCATCAGCACTCCAAGCCCCAAGGTTCTTCCCCAAGAGGGGACCTCCTTCCACCTCCTCTTCCCAGGCCCCCTTCTTGGGAACTCCTGAACCTTCGGACCTGGGCTGGGCTGGGTTTGGCCCAGCTGGCGTTGACTTTGGCTCAGGGGTTGGGTTTCCTGAGTAAATCTGTGGGACTGGCAGGGCTGCAAAGAGACAATTAAACCTCCCTCAGGGAAGGGCATCCAGAGAAGTCCTTGTTTCCCAGGGGCACCCAGACCCTGAACAGGCAAAACCCTGGCATTTGCATCTGCCTCTTAAAATAGAGAGACCCCACTGTGCCCCCTTCAACAGCCAGGCCCTTAAAGCTAATAGGTACACGGTGGGGAACACAGCCTGTGATGCAGGGTTTTCTCTGAACTCACTCCCTGATCATCACCCCTTGTCACAATTCACAATTTGACTTGGTTGGAGGCATGTGTGTTGTTTTGAGTTTTAAGAAGACTTCTCAAGAACTAGGTGAACCCTAATATACCCATCACCCTATTATACCCCACAGCTCCTTTTTATAACAAATATTTTCTTATGCCTCCTTCACTATTATAAAATAAAATTTAGGACACACTTTGTTCTAAATGATGTTATAGCTGTAACGTAAAAAAAAAATCAAGAGTGAAGAAATGTATAATAAAATACTGTGTACATATTCCAGCATGATCACAGTAAAAGATAAGGCATAGTCTAAAGGTTGTACCTATAAATATAAATTCTGGGAACATGAGAGCTTTAAATGTAGATTGATATATACGGTGATTGTATCACCAACCCAGGATCATGGGCATCATTGCCATAGGTAACGTGATTTTCCAAAACACTGAACAACTCTTAGTAAGGTTCAGAACACAGCAAACCCCAGTCTTTTCTCCCTTTATTTGGTAGTTGCATTCCTGGAAAACCCATGTTGTTAAATCCGTACAGTAAGTTCCTTGTGTTTATATGTAAAATGGAGTAAGAGTCTAGGCTCTGGTTATTACAAAGGGTTTTCACCTATGCAAATACACAGTGGCTCATTTGAAAATCCCGAACACTACACAATTCATCTTTGTACAAGACCATGCAGGGAGCCTGCCTGGCATCCCTGCTGCCTGCCCATCGAATGCAGGGGGAGGTTCCCCCAAGTTCTGCAACAAACAAAAACCCCATCACAGTACAAAACACCCCCAAGGGGCACTCTGACCCTCACCATGGGGCTATAGTTATGCCTCCTTTTCTGCCATCCCGGTACAGCCCTGTACAACCTGGGCACGGCTGTGCCTCCCCTCTCAAACTGGGGGCTCCCCAAGGTGGGAGCCTGGAGGAGGAGGAAGAGAGTGGGTCCTCGTGGGCTCAGACCCCAGGCTGGAGCACCTGGTGGCCACGCTGACCCATGTGTCCTCTGCCTTCACCCCATAGGCTGCAGCAAGATGTGGGACAACCTCACCTGCTGGCCAGCCACCCCTCGGGGTCAGGTGGTCGTCTTGGCCTGCCCCCTCATCTTCAAGCTCTTCTCCTCCATTCAAGGTAAGGGCCCTGGGTTGAAGGCTGGGAGCTGGATGGCAGGAGTCAGGCCAGCTGGAGTAGGGGCTCACCTCTTAAGGAAGTAAGAAGACAAATGAGGTGCTAAAGGGAGCTAGAGCAATCGGGGGGTTTTTCTGGAGAAGATGCACTATCACTAGGTCTCTGAAGGACTCATGGGGTTTGATCAGCTCTTCACAGAAAGATAAGCACATGGGAAGGGCTCCCTGAATATTTGCTCAGCAATTGATAACTGATTGACTGACAGACACTTGAATAAATCATGGCTCCTCTGCTCCCATCGTTTTGGGCGGGTCACAATTCAGTCTTTCATTGCCTGGAAGCAAACTCTGGGAGGCTGGCCTTGCTTACACACCTTGTCAGGTTCTGCTTAGGTAATGTTCACCTATGAGACAGAAAAGAAAAGGGGGAGCCACTTCAGTAAGTGGGCTGTCTTGCTAGTGAGTAATTAAAGTGGGGTATGGTACAGAGTCAGCCATTCTATCATTCAGTGAATGTTCATTAAACACCTACTAGTGTGACCAACGCTGGGCTGGACAGTGTGGGTCACAGGGATAAAATGCTGTCTGCCTGCAGGTAGCTAATGTTCTGGTTGGAGAGACATTTAGCAAGAAAACAAATGCACAAATTGGAACCGGTAAGCAGTGCTGGGAAAGAGAAGGCAGGGAGAAAGGAAAGAGGGAGGTGGGCAGGGCCCAGACCACGCAGGTGTTGAGGACTGATGAGGACTTGGGCTCTTCCTAAGTTTGCTGAGAGGCTCCTGCTCAGTTCAGGTTTTTAATTGATAACTGGTTTCTGTGAGAAGAAAGAATTCCAGGAGTCCCATGAGAAGACCTAAGCACAAGGCAGATGAGACATGAGGTCTGGACTCAGGTGGGGAGCAGGGCAGGGGAGGGATGTGGGACGCTGGGGGATGCCTGAGGGGGAGGGAGGAATCGCACCCCACCTAGGTCTAGTTTGATGAGCTGGGGGAGGACGGAGGCAGGGAAGAGCTGGGCTGCGGTGGGAAGGGGTGATGAGGAGCAGGACCTAAGGAGCCAGAGGATGACCAGTCTCTCCCTCCAGGTTGCCTTTCCCTCTCTGGACTTGTTTCCCTATTTGTAAAGTTGGGGTAGAAGGTGGACCAAATGGTCTCTTTCGGGCAGGCCAGTTTTGCTCCCTGGTGCTGGATGCTGTGGCCTCAGCTATGGAGAGATCTGGATGCCCTCCCTGAGGGAGCAGCCCTAGGTGTGCCATCTTCCAGGCCGGCGCCCACCTAGCCCAGCCCTCTTCCAGGGGGACCCAGCACCTGGGCAGGGAGCGGATGAGCTCCTCCGGCAGCTCTCACAGTGCTCCCATCAGCAGAGCCTGGCAACCGGCCTTTCCTCCAATCCCTGGAAGCACCTGCTAATTGCTTTTCACTCTGACGTGATGCTAATTGCATTCCTCCTGACGGCTCTTCCTTCTGTCCCTGCTGGAATTGTAAAGGAAGCTCCTTCACTTGAGAACCTGGACTCCAGCCCACCATCTGGCTAACCCTGAGGCTGAAGGCCTCAATGGGGTCCACACTGAGCCTTGGTACAGATGAAAGAAAGGCAGCTCTTCCTCAGGTGGGGTCAACCTCTCACCAGAAACCACATAGTGACAAGCTGAATATGAAGTAAACTTTAGCCCCACTCATCCATCAGCCAGATGCCCTTGTGCAGTGAACAACATGCACAGCTATACTTGGCGGCTTTAGCTTCTCAAAGTGATGGTGAAAAATAGGAGATAGGGTTAGGGGCTGAATATGTAAAGGAAAGAGGGTGTGTTTTCCTGGGCAACTAGATGAAGAAGGTGTGACCAATTGATCCTAAATTTCAAAGAGGAAAATTGGCAAGTAAGGGAGGCGTGGGTAGGGATGATGGCAACCCCACATCTCGCCCCTTTGGGTAATGGGGTTGGGGAAGGGATACCCTCCCTGGAAAGGTTGGAAGGGACCTGGTTCTACAGGGAAAGCTGAGGAAACCTTGTAGAAGATAACTGCAAAGAATTACAAAGCAGTCATTTGCCCAGGCTGGGTAAAGAAACTGGGAAGGGGGATGGCCAGGCAAAGACTGTTCCTCAAGGTGCCAAAATGTTAGTGGAGGCCCAGTCCTTTAATCTGTGGTCTGCATGCCTCTCATCTGTGGTGTTTTTGCCTTTAAATATTTGAAGGAGCTTTTTTTTAAGGGTGAAAAAATGGGACAGCTGTTTTGATGAGAAAGCACCAGAGCCTGAATCACCCGTGTCTATGGGCTCTGGGGGACAACTTCTCCCCCAGCGCATCATGGAATCGTGCACAAGAAAGTCTGGTCAACCCAAGATGTTTGCCCTGGCTGGCTGGGATAGGGCACTGGTGACAGGATTTCAGCAGGAGACCCCATGGTCAGGACTAGATTTTAGAATAATCCCTCCAGCTATCTCAGGGTGGGGAGCGGCTTGGAGAGGGCAGGAAAGCAGGGAGACCCATCCGGAGGCTCCCACCTAATTCAGAGGAGATGAGACGGTGCTGGTGTTGAGGAGAGACAGGCTGGGGTAGGACTGGTGACTGATGTGGGAGAGGAGAGAGGAGAAAATGGTCCCTGATTTCCACTTCCCATCACTGAGTGGGGGCATGTGGGCGTCCCTCGCAGCACAGGGTTAAAGTCCCTTGCCCCTCCCTCACGCCCTCTGTATCTCCTTCCACACACACAAGGTCTGTGTCGGTTCCCAGGCCTAGACTGGGGAAGAGACGCTTTGGCTGTCTCTCGGGGTCCCATGGTGACTTCCACTGAGACCTCCTCCAGAGCCATTCCCTCTGAGTCCCAGGCTTTTCAAAGAGGCTGCCCAGCCCCGGAGATGATCCGCTATCCCCTGCCCTCCCCCGCCAGCTGGGCGGGCAGGGCTCCAGGGGACAGGGTGCCCCTTTGGCCACTGCTGGGAGCCCAGAAAGATGTGGAGTCAGGCTGACCTCGGGCTGCATCCCAGGCCTGCAGCTTCCTTGCTGTGTGACCAAGGGCAAGTCACCCAACCCCCCTCAGCCTTGGCATCCCCATCTTTTATTGGGACTATGATAACTCCTGATCACTGGCCTTAACACATTACCATTCCCCCCAGCCCCTACAGAAGGTGTGTGAAGCTGCTGTGTAGACGCTGGTGGGTCACCCAGGCTCATCAGTTTAATTCATGGTGATACCAGCTACCCGCTATGTCATGGGCCTAACCTCACTGAGCCCTCGGCCCTCTGGCGAGTGGGGAGCCCAAAGCCTGAGGCCTTACTTAGTATCCCTGCTTCAAGGCTGGCTGATTTGGCCCTGTCGCCCTTTTCCTACTTGCCCCAGCCTGGTGGGGGACTGGCTTCAGGGCCAGGCTGGTGAAAACCTCCAGGCTGGCCCACCCCCACTGAAATGAGGAAAGGCTGAGGGGCTGAGGCAGGGCTGCGTGAAGACTTCTCTCACTTCCTGGGAGCCACCTGCAGCAGTGTGGTTGGGAGGCCTGGGCAGACAAGGGCTGCCAAGGCAGGAAACTGGCTCAGCCCCAGGGCCCCTTCCCCAGCAAAGTCCTTCCTGACACTTCTGGGACCTCACAGTTGAAAGAGACCCAGCCAGCTGCTCCTTCCCGGTGACCTCCCCACCCCTTGCTGTCCCTCAGTTCCACATCCATCAAGTAGACTGACAAGAACCTCTTTCAAACGGTGGCCAGGAGGATTTACAGAAACAGTAAATAGGGAATTACCTGCGGTGTTCTGAGCATAAGGCAGAGTTTAGAAATCTTAAACACATGTGCACAGTGACCCTCCTGGAGCTCAGGACAGCTTGATACCTCCCACAGTTCTGCACCTGGACCCTCGAAATAAGCCCTCCATCACCTCAGTGCAGATGAGGGCCAAGGTTAACTGGGAAGACTCTGGGGACCATACCTTCTCTATCCTGTCCTCCCTGTGTGGCCTTGGGAAAGTGACCAGTCTGTTGGAGCCTTACTTCTCAAATGTGAAATGGGATGACCTTCCTCACTGGATGGTTGAGGGGCTTCAAAAGGATAATGTGCCTGAAGCGCTCTGTACAGCGTACACAGGAAAAGGTCTCAAAGTGTGCTGTGATGATGGTGATGATGTTGGCACTGCTGGTGGTACTGCTGGTGGTACTGCTGGTGGTGCTGATGGTGGTGATGATGATGGTGGCACTGTTGACAATGGCAGTGATGGAGATTGGGATGAGAGTGATGATGCTGTGCTGCTGGTGGTACTGCTGGTGGTGCTGATGGTGGTGATGATGATGGTGGCACTGGTGACAATGGCAGTGATGGTGATGGGGATGAGACTGATGACGCTGGTGGTGCTGGTGCAGGTGAGAAAGGAGCTAGAGGGCAAAGATGTTGGACCCGTCTTCTCTCTTGGCTCTTCCTCATCACCTTGCCTTCTCTCTTTCCCTACTTTTCTCCCCTGCTCCTTCTTCCTCATCCCCTTACCTCCTTCTCCTACCTGTTCTCTCTCTCCCCTCCTCCTCTCTCCCTCCTCCTTCCCCTCCTCTTCCCTCCTTCTCTCTCCCACCCACCCCTCTCTCCCAGACTCAGTGCTTCTGTCGTGAGTCCTGAGAGAGGAGAGGGGGACCCTTCTCTGGCTCACCCATTTTCTATTCAGCCCTTCCCCTCCCTGGAGAGTGGGGAGCCTCGGGGGTACCCCTCACCTCACATGGCCCCTTAGCAGCCCTGTTCTTTGCTGCAGCCCTGGGCCTCCAGGTTCAGTGGACGGTGCCACTGCCCTGGAGCCCCAGCCTCAGTGGCTCAGCCCCGAGACCCCACATGGTTGTGCTGCGTGATTCCCCTCATGCGTGCCTCCTGCTTCTCCCTGTGTGCAGACTTCAGATCTGCACCCTCGTCAGATGTCATCCAACCCCCACCTGCCTCCTGCCTCACGTTTGGTCCCTCTCCAGGAGCTCATCTGAACTATCCCCAACCCCAGGACCCCTGATAGGTGTGAAAGGAAAGCCAGGCCTATGGGCTGGGGCCCCTTGCCACAGCCAGAGGCGGTTGTCTGTACCCACAGGACTAAGAAACCATCTGCCGCACCAGGGTCCTGTGACCAGGGTTAGCATTTGGCTCGTGGTTAGGGTCAGGGATCACTCCGTGCCAAGGATCCAGGCCGCCTGTGACAAGGATCAGAGTTTACATTGCCCTGGGGTCAAGTTCAGACATGACAAGGGACAGACTGAGCCCAGGAATGTCCACTCTGAGTGTCATCTGTGTCAGTGGGTCCCCTGGCAACCCTGGAGGGGCTTCTCCCTGCCCTAGGCTTCCCCGTGACACCCTGGGTGTTTCAGAGCAGCTGGAGCCTGATGCCACAGGGGTGCTGGGAGAAGGGCTGAGCACAGACAGCCAGGCCCCAGGCCTGCTCCACCGGCCCGCCTGCTCCACCGACCCACCTGCCCCGGGCCTCAACCTCTCTCCTCTCCGCCCCTGCCCTCCACCCAGGCCGCAACGTGAGCCGCAGCTGCACAGATGAGGGCTGGACACCCCTGGAGCCTGGCCCCTACCACGTGGCCTGCGGCTTGGAAGACAAGGCATCGGGTTTGGATGAGGTGGGCCTCAGTACACCCCCCCACGCACACGCCAGAGTGTCCTGGCCTGCTCACTCCTTCCACTGTCTCCCACCAAGGGGCGCACTGCCTTCTGTGTGGGAGCCAGGACTCCCAGGGTCTGCCCTCCCTGAGCCTCCTCCCTCTCCAGGACCACATGTCTTGGGGTTCATCCTCAGGCTCCCCTGAGAGGGGCAGAAGGGGCTTCCAGGAGGATGACCCACAGCAGCAAAGCTGAAGCAGCATCCTCAGGCCAGGCCACCCCATCCCTGTACTACCTTGTGGGAGCCTAGCTCCAGCCTGGGGACGGCAGGGCAGACAGAGCCCACCTCCCTGTCGCACACAGAGGGGAAACTGAGGTGCAGATCCCAGAAGGAAACAGCCTCAGATACCCAGCAGCCAATCAGGACCGGGTCAGGGACAGGACCATCGTCCTCAGTCCCAGGAGCCCTGGGGCACAAGTGGTCTCTATAAGGCTGTGCGTCCAGGAGCCAGGGAAATATTGCTGGGGCGGCTGGAGTATAATTGGAGTCCTGGCCTAGGTGCCTCTTGCTGCTATGGTGTGTGAATACATGTGTGCACGTGTGTCTGTCTGTCTGTGATGACATCTGTCCCACCTACAACGCCCTTTCGCAGACAGGGCTTTTACTTCTCCCCAGAGGGCAGCAACTTCCTCAGAGCCTTCAGAGCCCACCAGATCCTCAGGCAGGATCCATATCCCCTAAGTCCCTCCGAACCACTGGCCTCCATTCTGGCAGGGTGTGGGAGGTGGGGAGGAAGGAGGGACTGCCCAGTGATCGTGGCTCTGCTTGTGTGTCTGTGGGGAGGGCTGGCAGGAAGTCCTTGGGGTCCAGCTTTGTCCCAGCCCCACAGAAGGCCAGAATGCCCTCCTCCTGCTAACCCCAGCCCCTGACAGTCCCAAATGGGAAATTACCCTCTTCCCAGTGTCTTCTTCCCATTCTCCATTCCTTGCCACTCGGCAAGGGGGCCTCATGTCAGGGTCTGAAGGGCAAGTGGTCTTGTCCCCGAGGATGCCCAGCCCAGAGTTGGTCCAGAGAGGTGTTGGACACATGACTGAGGAATGAACGGATGGACCAATGGAACGTGTGAGGTCTTTGCTCCTTCCCTCACTGACATTTCCCTCATGAGGGAGCAGAGAGAGGGCCTGAGTTCAACCCCCACTCTGGGGTACAGTCCTGTCTCATCTGTGGGAAACCAGGGGTCAAGGGGGTCTGGGGACTGGAAGGGGAAGCTCAGCTGCTCTTGGGAGCCCTGGGCCTCAGCCTCCTCATCTGCCAAAGGCAGAGATGGGAGGCCGGATGTAGAGGGCACCCGCCCCTGCCAACTCCCCCTGCGTGGGCCTACCCCACCCCACCCAAGATCCACTTCCCTCTAGCAGCAGCAGACAATGTTCTACAGTTCTGTGAAGACTGGCTACACCATCGGCTACAGCCTGTCCCTTGCCGCCCTTCTGGTCGCCACCACCATCTTGAGCCTGTTCAGGTGAGGTCCGGCCCCAGCAACAGGCATCAAAGCAGACCAGCCAGGTCACTCCTCACCCAGGCATGCTCTGCCCCCAGGCACACACAGTCCTGCCCCAGCCCTCCTGCCAGGTCAGCTTCCCCTAGAGACAGCAGGCTGCCCAAAGTGTTCACCTGTCTCAGCCTCACTCGTCACAGGATGGCCCTGCACCTGGGGACAGGGCACCAAAGGGTGGGGCCTGTGCCCTGCAATGCAGCACCTAGAGGCCAGGCTGCACGTGAGGAGCAATACCTGGGGACAGGGCGGGGCCTGCATTCAGAGGCTACAAGCTCCCCCAGCCCCGCCCTTGCTCAGAGCACTGGACAGCGCTGGTTCGGGTGGGGGTCTGAGGCCCCTTCAGCCTCCCAGATCTGGCTGCCACCCCCAGGAAGCTCCACTGCACGCGGAACTACATCCACATGCACCTCTTCATGTCCTTCATCCTGAGGGCCGCCGCTGTCTTCATCAAAGACTTGGCCCTCTTCAACAGCGAGGAGTCGGACCACTGCTCCAAGGGCTCGGTGAGAACCTACCAGACCCACCTTCTTCTACCATCCCTCAGCTGAATCTCCTCTTCTCCCTCTCCTTCCCCACCTCCTCCCTCCTGCCTCTTCCTCCTCTCTCTCCTTCTCCAAAGATGGGCCCCTCTGACCCCACCTGCCAGCTCCTTGAATCCCCCTCCCCTCCCAGCAGCAGGAGATGGTGCTGGGCCATTGGGAGTTCACAGATCTCCTCCTGCCGATGAGAAACACCTCAGTTCAGTGGGAAATGGGACACTCTATGCCAGAGCCCACAGCCCCCGTCCCACCACTGCTGCTAACTTCCCATGTGAGCTTAGGGAACTCCCTGCCTCAGTTTCCCCACCTGTGCAAGGACTTCTAAATTTCTTTCCAACTCTCCCCTCTGCTACCTGCACACCTAGGGCTCTGCTCACTGTGCCACCCTGCCTACCCCCTGCCCCCCGCCACGGCCATCTGGAGCCTATCCAGACATACACAGCCTTCCTGTTTGTTCTTCTGCCATCAGTCACTTCTGGACCTGCCCAGGAAAGGGAGGTTAAGAGAACATTTATGGAATTCGTTGCCCACCACTAAGGAGTCCATCTCCAGGTGATTCTGAGCCCAAGGTCCCCTCCCTGAGTGCCCCCCGAGCTAAGACTGAGAGCTTGAGATCAGCCCTGGCTCCCATCCACTCCTTGTGGTCAGTGACTCATTGCCTCATGAGCGACCTCAGAGGCAGTGCATTATTTCAGGGGTCAGCAGTACCTTCTCCTTAAAGACTGAAACTGAATCTCTCCAGAGTGATGGTGAAATCTCAGGCATCTTGACACATGGGAAGGAACATGCAAGGGAGCCACCCTGGCCATTCCCAGAGCTCCTCAGAGGAGCTGGGAATCAGGAGCTGGGCTCAGACCTGTGCATTGTGAGCCTTGGAGCCCGGGGAGCAGCCTGCAGCCTCCGGCACACTTGTTAAGGATAATTGTGGAAAACGGCTTCCCTATTCATTAGCAGCCCTGTGAGGCTTTTCTAAGGACAGGAGAAGCACAGATAATCATCCTGCTAAAGAGCTGAGTTACTCTTGTTGTAAAGCAAATGGGGGAAGATGAGGGAAACAGACAAGCCTGTAGCAGGAAGGACTGAAGTAAGACCTAAAGAGGGACGTTCCAACTGTTGGGAGAGGAGGGTAGGCTGCTCTCTGAGGATGTCTCAAAGCCAAGGGCGCAGGAAGGGAGGGTGGGAACCTGTATTCAGGGCACAGGGAGGAGAGAAAGCAGAGGGCATCCTGGAGGAGGGTGGCTTTAAGCTCTGGCTCACAGGTATCTGGACTGGATCTGAAATGGGATACTATTTCTGGGAGAAGACAGAGGGTCCAGAAGAGCTTCTAATCATGCCAGATGGGCTGTCCAGAGTCCCTGATTGCTCTGCTCAGGGGTCTCCCTGACTCCTCATTGTCTTCACCCACCCATTCTTCCACTAGATCCTTTGGCCCCCAGGAGGAATGATCATCCTTCTCCTCTCCTCTTTTCCCTCATTTCTCCTCCCCCCTGCATCTTCCCTCTTCTCCATCCCCATCACCCCAACGACTCTATCTAAGCCCTACTCCATGGTCCCCAGCCCTACACATTCAAGGGACTCTTCCTAATGCAAGCAAGAATGCTCCCTCATACCTCTTCCAGCTACCTTCAGTCCTAATTGGAATAAGATGAATGAGCAGGTGGTAGGGGAGGGTGGGTTAAGTGGGTGGGTGGGTAGATGGGTGGCTAAGTAAACAGGTGTGTGGATGACTGAGAAGGTGGAAGGATAGATGGGTAAAGTAAGAACAACTGGCTAGATGAGGGGTGGGTGGGTAGATGGGTGGATGGATGGATGGGCAGACTGATGGACAGGTGACAGATGAATGGATGGATAGATGGGTGGATGTAAGGGTTGGCAATGGATGTCTAGTAGGTGGATAGTAGATGAATGGAAAGATAGGTGAGTGTGTGGATGGACTGATGGATGGGAAGATGCTGGATGCAGATAGATAGATGATGGATGGCTGCATGTATGGCAGATGGGTAGATGGATGAGGTGGCAGTGGATGTCTAGTGGGTGGGTGGGTAAATAAATGGATAAATGGATAGGTGGGTAGTTGGATGACTGGATGGGTAGGTGGGTGGATAGATATATAGATAGGAAGATGAACTGATAATAAACTATTGGACAGAATCAAAATCACAAGCTTATTCCAAAGCATCAGATGATTTAAAATTAGGGATAATCGGAAAACCACTGAGTAAATTTTTAAGGGGATAATACAAAAACAACAGAGATTAAGTTGGCTGTACTGCAGATCTGTTTGTCACCCCAGAGATGTGGGCAGGCAGGGACCCCTGCCAGCTCCACTGAGGCCCTCTCTGCTCCTCCCCCTGTAGGTGGGCTGTAAGGCAGCCGTCGTCTTATTCCAGTACTGTGTCATGGCCAACTTCTTCTGGCTGCTGGTGGAGGGCCTCTACCTGCACACCCTGCTCGCCGTCTCCTTCTTCTCCGAGCGGAAGTACTTCTGGGGGTACATATTCATCGGATGGGGTATGGTACCAGGGAGGGCAGCTAGGCTGGGGACAGAGGGGGCGAGGCCTGGGGAGCTCACTAGGGGGTGGGGGCCAACCCAGCCTGCAGCCTTAGGTCTTCCTGCACGGCAGGTCCTACATACAAGGCGCTCAGCCAAGGGTTGAGAAAAGTCCCCTCAATGTTTGGCCACAGGGTAGGTGCCCCCTGGCTGCAGAGCACCCCCAGCTGACATGTGGGACAGACAGGTTCCCTAAACATCCTTCCATTTCCCCTTTAGCCCTTGAAACACACAGGGCCACTGCTAGTCAATACAGTACCTCTGATAAAATGAGAAAAATACTCCCCCTTTAGGTGGACACAGCCCCTCAGGCCTTCAGTTTCACCCCCTGGGTGGAGCATCTTAGCCAGTGAACAAACTATGCCATTGCAGGTGGCAGCACTGGAAACCCACCCTCCCCTCTCTCCCTGGTTCTTCCTCCTCACCCTCTCCCTCTGCCTCCCATGCCATCTCCTCCGATTCTCTCTCCTTTGGCCCTCACAGGGGTGCCCAGCACATTCACCATGGTGTGGACCATCATCAGGATCCACTTTGAGGATTATGGGTGAGCTGTCACCTTGCTCCCCCCCAACCAGCTGCCATCACTCGGGACAGTTCCCCTGGGTGGGATGAGGGGGCCCTGGGAGTAGCAGACTCTGGACCAGTGGTCTCTAAAGAGTCTGGGGGCAGAGCCAGCGACAATGGAAGGACTGCTCTTTCTATCTGGCTGAGGACAACCTCTCTGGTTCTCCCCCCACCTACCTTGCCCAGATGCTGGGACACCATCAACTCCTCACTGTGGTGGATCATAAAGGCCCCCATCCTCGCCTCCATCTTGGTAAGGCCCCCTCCCACCACTCAGGGATGGAGAAATGGAGGCCCAGAGTGGGTAGACAACTTACCAAGACCCCATAGGAAATTTGTGTCTAGGTTAGAACTGAACCCTCAGCTTCCCAACGGCTAATGCGGCACCTTCCCCATCCCTTCCCCACCAGCTCCCCCTCTAAAGTAGAGAAAGTGGAAGGGGAGGCCCAGCCCTTAGATATGTGGAGTGTTCCTGGATCACTTTCCCCAAGGGGAAGAGCTAGGGGAGAGGTAAGATGGAAGGGTAGGCAGGCCCTGGGGAAGCAGAATGGCTATCTGCCCGGGGGGCTGGACACCCTGCAACCCTGCTCTGACCACCTGAACTTGGCCCCCGCCCACCAGGTGAACTTCATCCTGTTCATTCGTATCATCGGAATCCTGGTTCAGAAACTGCGGCCCCCAGATGTCAGAAAAAGTGACAGCCGCCCATACTCGTGAGTATAGGCCCAGGGCCCCAGCCTTCCAGAGATCCCCCAGCCCCAGTCCTCAATCATCCCATGTCCCCTGGAAGTCCCCCTCCAGAGTCATCAAAAAGTCACCTTGTTCTTGCCCACCTTCGCCTCCATGGCCTGGCTCAGTCCACAAGTCCCCCTGCCCAGCCCCACCCTCCCCAGGCCCTTGAGCCCCAGGTCTGCTTCTCCTGCATGACTTACCTAGCGACTGATCTGCCCGACTCTGTATCTGCTGCCAAGCCAGAGGGCTTGAGAAGACGGTAGATAACGTTTGTCCTGTTCACACTATGTGTCCAGTCCCAGGCATGTGCCTGGCACAGAAAAAAAAGGGGCAAAATAAACGCACAGTAGATGAATGCCCTGGGGTTTCTAGGCATCATCTCATTTCATCCATACAGTCGCCTCTAAATTGTCCCCATTTCACAGATGAGGAAACTGACACGCACTCCTCCTCAAGGGCTTCGGAGCACATCACCTTGGCAGGGGGAGGGCACAGGGTCCATGGGACAGGGGTCATATCCTTGCTTGGAAAGGTGTGAGGGCTGTTCTGTGCTTGGGGGGACTGGAGCATAGGCAGGTTTTCATGAGAACAAGGCTTACAGACAGAACAAAAGAAAATGAAGGGGGTGACTGTGGGAGGGTAAGTAGGTCTGAGTGCCCACAGATAGGAGCGGGGGATTATCAGCTGCACACACAAGACAAACCTGGAGCATCCCACAAGGGCCTTCGGGTCCTGGGATTCTAGAATGTTCTCCTTGGCCTGGCTTCTCTCAGGGGAATCTGTGTTCTGGTTCTAAGATTCCTGGTTAGAATGTCACGAGCTGCTGGATTTAGGATTCTATTCTAGAAGCCTGTGATTCTCCCTGATGAGACTAAGACTCACGTTCCTGGTGTGATGGCACCCCCTCTCCTTCCCCGGGGTGTGGAGGCGGAGCTTCCCTTCCAGTTTGAGAAGGGAAGGCCCTGCAGAGGTCTGCAGTCTGCCAAGGGGTAGCACATCAAGGCCTGTGCCCCCTCTTCCTCTCTTTCACTTGGGGGACTTTGTTTTCCCCAAAGTATACTGCTCAAAAGGGCTTGAATCGGAAACAGAGCCGGTCATCGCCAGGTCCCCGTGGGTGAGGTGGAAACTGAACAGCTGTCGGCAGGCAGACAGGGCGGAGGGAGTAGGAGACGGAGCTCCCGCGGAGGGGCTGTCAGCGCCCACTCTCCACCTCCCCACCAGCCTTCAATTTAAAGAAAGCCTCCATCTGTCAGCCTCGGGCGCATAGGATAGGTTTGCAGTCAAGGGGAGGTGGGCAATGCTCAGGAGGATATGGGTCTGGCTGCGAACCAGGTCCAGGAAGGAGTGGGAGGGACATGGCCAGTTTCTCTGCCATCCTCAGTTTGCTGTGGGTCCTCAGGCCCAGGTCTAGGCTTCCCTGGATTGACTGCCAAGGCAAGAGAGAGAGAGGCAGAGAGACACCCTACCCCTCAGACCTCTCCTAGCCAGAGAACAGAACTGCGGGGACCAGCACTGAGGTCAGGTGGCTGGGGGGTCTGAACCAGGATGAGCCGTGCTGCACGGGAGAGGGGGTGAGTCATTTAGAGTGACTGTGGACACTGCTGAGCACACAAGGCCAGTGAAGGAGGAGCTGGTCCTTCAAAGAATGCTGGGAGTATTCGTGTGGGGAGGTGGAGGGGGGTGGCAGGGGAAGGGATGCAATCCTGGAAAAGGTGGCATTTCCTAGGGAAATGGACACAGCAGAGAAGCCAAAGACAGGGCTGTGTTAGTTGACCCTGAGTCATCCTTGGTGACCAGGCACAAACCCACCATCTTCCCAAGAGGCCCTGGGCAAGTGGTCAGCAGCCCAAACACAAAGACTTCCTTCCCAGATGCCTTCCTTCCCGGTGGAGAATTGGTCTCTCGTGAGCCCATTGCACTTTATAGCACCCAAAGCACTTCCGAGTTTACAGTGGGCCCCACTTCTGTTACTTGACCCTGTTGAGCATACACTTGTTCCATTCTACAGACTGGAGAAACTGAGACCAGGGGAGGGGAAGCCAGGATCTCCTGTTGCTCGAGAACATATCCTCATTATTGGCCACAGAGCCTGAAATGCCACTATCACGCATCATCCTTGGGGGTCAGCACTGGCCCTCCTTTATACTCTGTCCATCAGACAGTGAAAATAGGGGGATTTCTCCCTCTCTCTCTCATGCTCCCGTCCAGGCAAAGACGGCTGTGGGTCAAGACAGGACATAAGCACTGCAGACAGGGAACAGAAACAGATGTAGACACAGTACTTATAGGGACCAACAGTGCATCCTCACACATCTGGTCATTGTTCCCATCTGTGCCCCACGTGTCCACATGTGTGGACACCTATACCCACTGCCTGCCCCTCCCCTGTCCCCAGGAGGCTCACCAAGTCCACCCTTCTGCTGATCCCCCTGTTTGGAGTACACTACATCATGTTCGCCTTCTTTCCCGACAACTTTAAGGCTGAAGTGAAAATGGTCTTTGAGCTCGTCGTGGGGTCTTTCCAGGTATGACCTGTCACCTTAAGGCTGCGTTCTTCTCTGGGCTTTAAGGGAATTCACCTGGGGTCTTGGCCCCTTGCCACTGGACTCCAATCTTTTTATCGTAATAAGTATTGATTAAAAACCTACTGTATGCTTAGCCTTTTGCTTAACCAGGGGAACACAGCAGGGGGGAGGGGGAGGGCTGGGGGCTCCCAAGGTCTGCCTACCTCACCTCTCCTGCTCCCTTCCTCTCCAGGGTTTTGTGGTCGCCATCCTCTACTGCTTCCTCAATGGCGAGGTAAGCCCCTCCCAGACCTTGGAGGCCAGGGAGCAGAACTCTGGTAGCCCCAGTGTCCAGAAACACTGATGGGATGTGCAGAGCAAAGAAGGGTCAAACTTTGCTACTCCAAGTGTGGTCCTCAGACTAGTAAATCAGTGATGGCACCTCCGACCTTGTTTAAAATGATGATTTCTGGGCCCACCCCAGGCCTCTGACTTTGCATCTGCTTTTTAAGAAAACCTCAGGGAAGGAGGGTACAGCCCAGAGGTAGAGTGCATGCCTAGTGTGCTTGAGGTCCTGGGTTCAATCTCCAGTACCTCAACTAAAGTTAAATAAATAAACCTAACCCCCCACCCCAACAAACAAACAAACAAACAAGAAAACTTCAGGGATTCATGTGCACATCAGAGTTTGAGAAGTGCTGTGTGGAGGGGGCTGTGTGCAGAGTGAGTGGGGATGGGTGGAGGCAGCAAGTGGAGGTTGAGTCATGGTGGAGCCCTGCTTACTAAACACAGAAATCTACTTGGATGAGCTTAAGTGAGCTAGAGGGCAGGGATGAGAAGATGGGGATACAGCCACCTCCAGGCAGCATTCCTCTCCCTCTCGGGACAGCATTCGCTGATCCTCTCTGGCTCTCACCTCCCCCAACTCCAGTCCCTTGATTTGACCTGGCTTCTAGGAGGTCCCAACTCTGCACAGGCCAAGGTAGCATCCAATCTCTCAAAACAGACTCTCCAAGAGGACATGACTGGTTGGCTCCCACCCTAAATGGGGTGCAGCCCAATCAGCTGTGCAGGCTTCCTAGGGGCGGGTCTGACCACCCTCCCTTCTCCCAGGTGCAGGCAGAGCTGCGGCGGAAGTGGCGGCGCTGGCACCTGCAGGGTGTCCTGGGCTGGGACCCCAAATACCAGCAACCATCCGGAGGCAGCAACGGGGCCACGTGCAGCACGCAAGTCTCTATGCTGACCCGTGTCAGCCCTGGCGCGCGCCGCTCCTCCAGCTTCCAGGCCGAAGTCTCCCTGGTCTGACCACCAGGAGCCCAGGGGCCCAGGGCGGCCCTTCCCACCCACACCCATACACCCCGCGCGGCACCGGGGACAAAGGCCTGACCAGGCGAGGTCAGTTCCAGGCTCGGAGGCTGCCCAGGCCCCCAGATCACTGTCCAGACTCCCCAGGAGAACGCTGCCCTTGTGCCAGCCTGGGGAAAGGAGGGTGCATAGGTGAAGGAGCACTGAGAGCTCCTACCTGGAAGACGCAGAGTGGAGCTCAGTCTTCAGATTCCACCCGCTAAATGCCCCCTTTGCCAATCAAGGGCAAGAAATCTGCATACCCTCACCTGACTCCACCCCCTGGTAGCTCATGATTCATCTGAGGAAGGCAACCGCCCATCCCCAGACAATGCACGTGGGAACATGATGTGATCTGAGGGCACAAAGGTCTTGCCTGGAACGGTTACCTGCCACCACCACCTCGACAGTGCCTGAAGCTCTACCATTGCTGCCAAGTTCCTCTGGGTTAAGCATCATCATTCAGGCATCTCTCCAAAGATGCAGTCTCTGCCTGGAATGCCTCCTCACAGCAGCCAGCAAATCGAGATGAAAGAGTTTTTCTGCCTCTGGCAGATGCCAGGCCCAGTTGTAACAGGGAATTTTAGTTAGAGGAGGGCAGCTATCTCCACAGTCCCTGCTGAAATGGAGTGGTCCCGGGACGGCTGCAGCAATTTGAGGAGACTGCCACCAGCCCTACCCATCTCTCTGGGCTGTGGGAACTGCCCTTGGCTGCCCACCTACGTGCCAACTATTAGAAGCAGGCTCAGAGGTGTGCACTCATGGACTCCTTAATCCTCATATCAACCCAGCAAGGCAGGAACTACCGTCCCTATTTCACAGATCAGGAAAGTGAGCCTCACAGCGAGCAGGTACCTCACCTTATCACGCAGACAGGATTTGAACTCAGATCTTGCTGATGGGAAAGTGAAAGCACAGTCTCTAACTACTTTCATATACTGTAACAAGCTGGATTCTCTTGGTTATTTGTATTACCACTGATATTATTACCACCACCCCCACAACCCCATCCCCACCGCACCCTCCCGGGAGTGTGGCAGAAGAGTCCTCTGGTCCATGCATCATCTGGACAAGAGCCTGGTGGTCATGTCCTGTGTCTGACTGCACCTTTGTGGCCACACAGCTCCCTACCCACACCCCAGCCAGAAGATCCCCTCGGGACTGCAAACAGGCTTGTGCAACAATAAACACTGGGTTGGACTGACTGGTTTTCCTAGTGGTTGCTGTTCCCATGTGGGTTAAAATGGAAACCAGCTTCCAGCTTGCAGCCATCTCCCCCTATTCTGAGGAAGACTGGTCCAAAACACCACTGGAGCCAGACACCATCACCCCTCTGGCTTCCATATGAAAAACACAGGTCTAAGGGCTTTCAACTCACATCTTGTTGAGTGGTACCCTCTGTCCTCTGAGTGTGGTGAAGTTATACCCTGTCCTCATGGTGTCTCCCTACCCCCTAAATCCAAGCAAGAAGAGACATTTCTATTCTTGGATCAAGACAAAACAGCCAACAGAGTTGTGTGCAACCCCAGAAATGGTTACATGTGGGTACCTACACCCAAGGAGCACATGGGGTGTGAGATGACCAGGGTGCCACCGTCCAGGGTTCAGCCAAGAGGAGGTATATGGAGGACAGACTAATGTCACCAAAACAGAGACAATACAGCTAGTAAACAGGTTTAGACACTGAGGCTGGAGGCTGAAGACGATGATGCCAGTCAGCAAGAGAGTCTTCAGAGCCACTGCTCCAGCTGACCTCCCTGGGTTTCCCTCCCTGCAAACTTCCTGCCTGGACCCAGCCCATCCATCACCGTGCCTGAAATCCCACCATTAGTGAGTTATGTCTAGGGAGAGAAGCAAAGTTATCAGCCAGGAGGGTGGAAAGTGAATAAAACATAGAGAGACCCAGACAGGGACAAAAGAAGGGAGGACAGAAATGGGGCCCTGTCTGGGAGGTAGCAGGAGATGAAAAGCCCCTCAGGAAGAGTGGAGGGCATTCAGGAATGGGGAGAAGCTGAGACACTGTCCGAGGCCTGCAGGTTGGGAGCAGAGTGGAGGTGACCAAGAGCTGAATTTCTCCTGCACCCCCTCTTCTCTCCAGCTCCCTCTCCTGCCTTGTAGGGCACTGTGCCACAAGACCAGCTCATCTCTATCGCCACCTGGTGGCTGCCTCAAGGACTTCACCACGGTTGGCCTTAGGGACCCAAGCATCTGATGACACAGAGGGCAGGCCTCTCTCCTCAGCTCCATTTCAGGGCAAGATACAAGGGCCAGGAGGTGGTGAGGACAAAGGACTGATGACCCCAGAGACAGCCTGGGATTAGGGAGACAGAACCTGGCCCTCAGACCAAGGCTCCTGTCCTTGTGGCACAGTGATCCCTGCACCAGCCCCAGCTTTGGCCCAGGTAGAACCAGACCTCTGGTTGCCCACAGGCTAGGCCCTGGCCCTTGACCAAGCCTGACCCCAGGTCCCGAGGGCAAAGCCCAGTTAACTCAGGTGGCCTCCCCTCTGGGAAGACAAGGTGCCCCCCACCATGCCAGCCACCATGTGGATGATTCTTCCCACTCTGAGGTGAGCAGACTGCCTGCAGAATGGATAAGGTGCATCTTCCTGGGTGAAGGCTTGTCCCTGAGGACTTGGTAGAAGTCTCCATATCCCAAAGGGGCATGAGAGATAACAGGGACACCTGAATCTGGGCCAGCAGATGCTGGGGGCCCTTGGCAGCAGGAACCCAGTGGGGACTTGTTAAATGAGGCCAAGGGAATGAGGGTGGGTTTGAGACAGGCCACTTTGGCTGCTGAGAAGGGCCCCAGGAGAAGGCAAAGGGAAAGCTCCCAGTCCATCATCCAGGTGAGGGAGGGCCTGGTTAGGGACACGCTGAAGGTAGTGTCTGTGGGACATCTGGGGAGAAGCCCTAAGGCTGTTGGAATCAGGACCTAAAGAGACAGGGCTGGCAGGAGATAGGGAGACCAGGGCCGCCTCTGGGGTGTCCAGGGAGTCTGTATCTCCTGGCATCTCCAGCTGGCAGGCGGGGCCAGGTTGGGTGAGGAGTTGTCAGTGCCTACATTCCCACCACTTGCCCAGGGCCTGTTTTAATGAGCAATGACCTGACCACCACCCCCGCCTTTGTGGGAACAGGAACTGCTCTTATCTCTCCTGGGGGAGGGGGCCAGAGCCACAGCTGGCAGTAATTAAACACCCTGATCAGGCCAGGGATGGCTGAGATATTAATAGCCAAGAGTCGACGGCCCTGGAGACGCAGCCTTTCAGGAAGAGGGAGAGTAACCTCTGAAGTCATGGGGATGAGTCAGGAGGCCATCCTGGCAATGCCCCATCCCCCATGCACGACAAATAAAGTCCAGAGAAGAGAAGGAACTTGCTTGGGATTGCCAGCAAGTCATTGGTATAGCCCAGCCTTGAATCCGGTTCTCAGTCCCAGAACCTGCCTCATTATATGAACTGTCATAGGTGTCATGGGTGTGCCCTGTGTGTAAACAGCAAAGTAGAACAAGTTGGTGACCCTGAATCTTTACTGTCTTCATTTTAAATATCTTTTTTATAAATAAATCATTTTTATTGGGGGCAGGTAAATTAGGTTTTGTTTATTTATTTTAATGGAGGTACTGGGGATTGAATCCAGGACCTCATGCATGCTAAGCACACACACTACCACTGAGCTATACTCTCCCTATTGTCTTTATTTTGAAATCCAGGTATTTTTTTATTCATTTTGTATTTTTACAATAGGTTTGCTTTTTTACAATATTACATTAAAATATTCTTTATCCTGATTACCTGCTGAGTTTTTTTGGGGGGGCGGATAATTAGGTTTATTTATTTATTTTTAAACAGAGGTACTGGGGACTGAACCCAGGACCTCGTGCATGCTAAGCATGCACTCTACCACTGAGCTATATACCCTTTCCCTGATTACCTACTGAGTTTTTTGCAACCCCCTTAAATTTTGCATCCAAGGACAATGCCTCACTTGCCTCACCCTAGTCCCTGCCCAGCTCCCAGAGGTCCTAGCATCTCTGAGCCCATGACGTTGGCATGGAAAAAACTCTGAAGACTCTGAACCAGCCTCTACGTGCCCCAGAGGGAAGGGGTCCTACCATGGTGATGCCCACTAGAAGTAGGGAGCTCCAGGATTAATTCAGCAGCTCAACAATGTCAACACAGACCTAAATGGTTTCTACCTGTCCCCTCTGCCATCCTCAGTATGTTGACTTTTGTCTGCAGACTTATCCCCTCCTGATTGCAAGATGGTTGCTGCTGCCCCAGGCATCATGTTCTCACAGAACCCTATTCTCTGGCAGGGGGGGAGATTGCTTCCTGTCTGTCTCCTTTTGTCAGGAAGATAAGCTATCCCAGAACCCGCCTTCTGTGCACTTTCCTCAGGCTCCTTGGCCAGGACTAGGTCACATACCCAAGCCCTGGCTGCAAGAGAGAACCAAGCTTCCAGAGGGAGGTTGCTTTGATAAGGAAGAAGGATTCATCTGATAAGGGAGGACGGCTGTTGAGTAGGCAGCCAAGAGACTGACTCTTAGTCTCCTTTTGGACAGCTCTTTGGGTAAGTATTGGACCTTTCAGATTTCCTCCACCTGAGTCTGGTCGTCATAGTGCAGTCATAGTTTAGGGAAGGAAACGGAAAACACTCTAGGTCTTTTGTGCAGAAAGAGACTGAACATAGGAAATTAAACCTATAAAGGTTTGGAGAAACAGAAGCTAGGGCACACCTAGCCTCATGGTCACACCACCCTAGCTGCCACCTTGTAGGAAATTATTGCCAATGTCCTAGTTGCACAGCCATTAAGCTGGTGACAAGGAAGTGGAAAGAACACAATGTCCTGTGGCTGCAAAAGCTCACGTCTGCCAGACCCCACGCAGCAGCCACTGCACTGCAGGAAGAGTGGCCTCCATCTCCCTTCCACCACCCAGCTCTGACCGGCAGCACTTCCCTCTCAGTTGCACCCAGATCTCCGGCAGCAAGGGGGTCTGGGAAAGGTAATCTTTAGTCTTCTAGCCCCCACAGCACGGGGCATATGAAGAGGCTGGAGAGGGAGGCCGAGTTCTTATAGACAATTTTAGCACAGATGTTCAGGTGGCCTTGAAGCCTGAGTCCCCAGAAAGCAGAGCCTGCCACCAGGAAACAGGAAGAAGGGACAGAGAAATGTGACACAGGGAAATAGAGAAAGCCAAAATCCAAGTAAGTTACTGAGCTGGTCACTGCTCTGCCAACAGGAACTCATGTTCACCGAGGAGGGGGCAGAACATACCTCCGGATCGTCCTCTTGAGGGACAGGAGAGCAGTAGCCACTGGCCTCCACCATCTGGGGCTCGAGGTATGCCCATGGCAACGCCCTCAGACTTCTAGGGGTGATGGGCCTGCATGTCAGTGCGTCCCAGCAGGTATCACACACCATGACGCCAGAGGGACTAGGGTAGAAAGTGAGAGCTGTGCGGTACAGCTGAGGTGGGGAACGGTCCTGTCATTCCTGCAGGAACTGGCAAATGTAGGTGCAGAGGATCCAAGGCAGACAGTCCAGTACAGGTGGCCTCCTGGAGGCAGAGAGGAGGAACCTGGCACAGAGCTAGGCTAGTCTCTTCTTTTAGGATCTTGGTGGCTGCGTGCTCGCAGCTCATGAGCTCGTAGCCTGTTCTCTTGGCCAGGGCTCCACCTGGGTTCACTCTGACTCCTCCAGTCTCAGCCGTGCCTCCATCCAGCCTTGGGGGTGAGCTGCCCTCACCAAACCACTGGCCATGGCAGTGCCAATACAGGCCCACCAGTCCCAACTCAGCCACATTCTCCATGCTCCATGGGGCACACAGGGACTTCTGGACACTTCCAGGCCTCTGGGAGCTGAGGAAGGCTTGCCAGAAGGGGCACACTCCAACCTTCTTGCCATCAAGTGTGTAGCTCCACCATTTTTACCCAGCAGGGCCATCTGAGGCCCACAGGCTGCCTAGGGGGGCTGTCTTTCAATGCAGAGTGGGACACCTGCCCCTTCCATCTTCAGCTTTCAGTCTCTGTTCAAGATTTCGTCCCAGAGGATGAGACCTGGACCCATGTCCAAGAGATGCGTCTCCTCCTCTTTCCACCACTCCTCCACTGGGGGGGGGGGAGCAGTGCTTTCCTCCCTCTGCCTCTATCCTCCCTTCTCCCCAAAACAGGTTCACCTGTCCTCACCCTTCCCCAGTCGTGATGGTGGAGGGGCTTCAGAGTCCAATTTCAGGGTTTAGGGGCTGAGAATTACTTTAGTTTAATAATTTCAAAGTATTAACGTCACTGTATTCGTTCAGTAGATAGTTACTGAGAACTGACTGGGTGCACAGGTCAAAGCAGCAGTGACCACAGCAGAGGCCCTGCCCTCCCAGAGCTGATCCTCTAATGAAAAAACTGATAATAAATGAGTAAGATTATAGAAGAAAGAAGGCAGGAAGGCGGGCTAGGGTAAGGGGTGCTCTGTTGGTTGGGGTGGTTGGAGGATGTCTCCCCACGGGGTGACAGTGGAGCAGGGACAGGTCATTCCCCTTTCCCGGTAATCAGAGAATTTTAAACCATATACGTCAGAACTGGGGCCCAGAGACCTTGAGGTCCAGGTCAAAACATCCAGTCCCCTGCCTCTGCAGGAGCAGCGTGGACAGTATGTGAGAACCACGGCCTAGGGCTTGGGGCCTCTGTGCCATCCAGACCTCCCTTAGGTAGGGGCTTCAGAGACCACTGCTTGTCAAAGTCACCAGGAGAGGATGCCTGCCTGGACTTGGTGAGGGTGGTTCCCTGGGGCTACGATGCAGCAGTGACCTGGGCCCACAGACTCCTGGGCTTGGGGCCAAGAGGTCCCCCTACCGCCGGCTCAGTGTCCTCTATGCCAAGTGACAGAGAACAGGCAGCTCTTGAAAAGACTAATATTTACTCTTCAAATGGGTGCTGGCACAGGCTGTTTCCTGCAACTGGAGTCTGGCTCACCCCGTGGGATGGACACCACAGGAGGCACTCTGGGAGATAGGCAGATGTCCCCACGGACACCAGCATCCCAGATGAGACGATGTCTTTGAGATGGGGACAGCATGCTCTAAGGTCCCATCCGATACATCTCATCTCTGCTTGTATACTTTCATGATGGAGCGCTCGCTGCCTCCCCCAGCCCTGCTGGACAGCTCTGTGAGAAAGTCCATCCTCATTCTGGCCCTGGTTCCCACCCCTGGGGCTTCAGAACATATGCCTGGAACAACCCCTCAGGGCAATAATGGTCCTAGTCACCTTCATGCCTCCCAGCCTCATCTCCCTCCAGTTTCACTTCCCCAGATGCACACAACTGGCTCTGTGGCCAGAAGGCTATTTCTGGGGTGGAAGACCTGGCCTTGGGTGCACCTCTGTCCGCCTGCAGCTGTGTATTCTTTGTCCCCGAGAGCCCTGCAGCTGAGTGCTGCACGTGGGAAAGAATCTCCGCCAGGAAACTACTGGTCAGACGGCCTAAATCTGGGAAGGATAGAGTCCCCAGTGGCCAGAGCCAGCTCCCGCCCATCTGCATTCCCTCTTGTAGCCCCTTCCTGCTTTCTCCCCTCCCCACACCATGGGTCCCAGAAGCCCCTGCCCATTACAGCCCCTGGCCTTGACTTCAGTCCCCTCACCCCATCACCCATTGGACTCTCTGGCAGTAGGTGTGGCTTTGGAGGCCCTCAGAGGCAGACCCTCTCTGCCTCCTCAAGTCCAGCCAGGGCTGGGCATGCAGGGAAAGATCTCCAGAGGCAATGCAGGCCCCCTGGTTCTCCCAAGGCTCTCAGAACTGGCTGCTGGCTCTAGCCAGCCCTCTTTTTCTTTTCTTTTTTTTAAATTCCGTATTATCTCCATACCTAATCCCCAAGCTCCTGTCCCCTTGTAGGCAACCATTCAAATGAATTTAACAAGTATCTTTTGGAATATGTGCTTACAAGATATTTTATCATTTTGTGCGCATGTTTCTGATCGTATAAATGCTATTTTTCACTCAGTTCTACGTTTTGAAGACCCATCCATGCTGCTCCGTGACATCTAAATCTGGTACTTCTGCCTCCTGCCTGCTGCTCCACAGTGAGCCTGCACACTTTATCTGTCCATGGTAGACACACAGACTGCTTTCTGCCAACACAATTAATGCTTCAGTAAACACTTCTCTTCATACATATCCCCTTAAGGATCTGTGTAAGAATTTCCAGGGAATATCTAAGCAGGAGTGAAGTTTCCACGTCATAAGGTGTGTGCACACTGAATCTGGGCAGGCAGCTGTGTTTGCTAGGGCCGCCATGACAAAGCACCACAGTCTGAGTGGATGAAAGAACAAATTTATTTTCTCACATCTCTGGAGGCTAGAAATTGGAGATCAAGATGTCAGTAGGGATGGTTTCTTCTCAGTCCTCTCTTCTTGGCTTGCAGATGGCCACTTTCCCCTCTGTGTCCTAATCTCTTCTCAAAAGGACACCAGTCATATCGGATTTGGGCCCATCCATATGACCTTCTCATTTTTTACCTTAATCACCTCTTTAAAGACCCTATCTCCAAATACAGTCCCATTTTGAGGTACTAGAGGGTAGGACTTCAACGTATTAATCTGGGGAGGACACAGTTCAGCCCACAACAGCAGCACTGCTCTTCAGATGGGCTGTGCACGAAGTCCTCTACCCCAACACTGTCTCCAGTACTTGGTGCCACTTAGCTTTCTAAGTTTTGCCAAACTAATAGGCGTAAGGTGATACCTTACTATTGTTTTAATGTGTATTTCACTGTATTTCTAATGATTCTCAATATCTTCATATGCTTATTAGCTTTCTGAGGTTTTTCGTCTGCAAATTGTCTGCTTGTTTTCCTACTGAAGTTGCTCTTTCTTGATGGTTTAAGGAATTGCTTGTATATTCATCCCTTACTGGTTTCAGACGTTGTAAATGTCTTCTTCCATTCTTTTAACTTTGCCCATGAAATCCTTATTTGTACGGCATCAAATTCATCAATCATTTCGCCTTAAGGATTGTGCCTGTGATGTTTTTGTTTAAGAAGCACTTTTCCAACCCAGGTCACAGACATTCTCCTTCATGTTCTCCAAGGAACTGCATAGTTTTTACTCTGCACATCTGATCCAGCAATGTCTTAGAGCTGACTCAGCAGAGCCAGGTGCACTCAGGCGGGACCCCTTCCTCTCTGAGTTTCACTCCTCTGCTGGTGCTACCCGAGCCAGGCACTTCTGCTACCTGGCCCTACAGGCCCCACATGGGGTAGAGCCTGAGAAAAAGGCAGGTAATTCATCACCCTGAACTGGCACCCAGCCCTCCTGGCACAGAAAGGGTGCCCTTCAAGGGCCAAGATCCCTTTTTATTCTTCGTGGGTGCTGCCAAGTGGTAGATGGCACCTTGTTCTCAGCCCAGGGGACGGAGCTCTGGGCTACACTGTCCCTGGCTGCCTAGGATAGGCCTTAGTTTCCCCACTTGAATCAGATGGCACCTACAGGCTCTTCCAACACCCAAATCCCAGAACTCAATAATTGAGACACTTATTTTGGAAGCCTTTGCCCTCATCCAAAAGATCTTCATTCAGGACAGACAGTGGAGAGATGCTTGGAGTGTGCCTTTCCCCATGTGTGGTTAGAGCACGGTCAGCAGAGGTTGGTGCATTTATTTCCTTTCTGGGAGTTTTATTAGGAACGACCGGGCAAAACAGCACAGTCCCTGGGCTGGGAACCTGACGACGCGCCCCCTGGTGGCCATTTTCTGGCAGAGACAAAAACTTACCTCACCTTCAGGGTACGGACGGAAGCTCAGAGGCTGGAGCAGGGAAAATACCTACTCAGGGGCACACAGCCGGGCAGGAGCAGAGCCTGCAGAGAAGGCAGTCCTCCCAGCCCCCAGGGCAGCACTGCAATTGCCATTTTGGTTTTTCCAACATTCCATTTTGGTCTTCCCTGGACCCATGATTGCATTCCAGAGTCTGGGGATTGATGCTGAAGACTATTTGAGCCCTAGCACCTGCCTAGACTTCACTGAACAAGAGGACCTGAATTTCACTTCCCTTAACACAATCGCCTCCATTGTGCCAGGCCCACATCACCCCATCTAGGAAAATGGACCCATAACTCAGAATTTTTTCACGTATAAGTACAAACACGCAAGTTAATAAGCACCTTAGATTTATTCTCTTCCCATTCTGAAGCCACCTCATTTGATTTATATATACATAGTATATAAATGGCTATACAACATTCTTTACCTACATTAACACAAGTTTAGGCTTTACTGCTGTGTGAAAGTTTGTTAAAACACACTCATTGTTTACTCAAAATAGATCTTTGTTATTGCATGAAAACAGTAAGAAGCTTGTATAACGTGGACAGCAAGCATTCAAAATGAATACACGAAGGAAATGGTTTTTCCCTGGCTAAATAAGCCTCAATCTTTTATGCCCTTAATAGAGAAGTCCATTCAACAAAATAGGATCCTGGGGAGGGGGGTCACATCCTATGAATAATTCATTAAATAACGCTTCTGAAACAATGCCAGCACCATAGAAAGGTTAAAGACGGTCATATGTATCAAGAACAGGGTCGAGGAACAGAATGGATTTGATAATTTTGCCTTAAATAAAAGACGCTTGTGGGCACCAGCTCTGCCATTGGTACACACGGGCAGATGTTTCCATATCCGGCCATTCCCAGATTTACTGACAGGACTTTTCCACAGGCTCTCTGCCAATGATGTTTCCCCAGCAACAGAAGTTTGACACCACTGCTCCGAGATGGGAGAATCAGTGCTCTCCTCATCTGGGTCAGAAACAAGCCATAAGGTTTGGTCCAACCAGGAGAACCTGCCTCTCTGGATCCCGGAGGACCCCATGCCACTGGTATCAAGGGCTTTGTGCCTGGAAGGCAGGAGGCCGGTCCAGGGGAAGGAAGAGAGGCCACAACCTTTCTGGAGTGAAAGCATGAGACCATTTACACCACAGTACCATAAAGGCCCTCTTTCAGGAAAGGCCAGAAGACGTGCTGTGTGGTGCTACCTGAAGCATGCAGAATCTGCACATACTGGGTGAACAAACGCGAAGCCTTTCTTCTCCTGCACATGAAAGGTGGATGCACCAGGCACCCCCTCCACTACTGCTTTTACACTCCCGACAGCGCGCCAGGCAGGGGAGCCGGCTGACATGACCACCACCTCCCAGAGAAGGGTGCTGGGGCTGACAGGCGGTGACTTGCCCCCTGAGGGGTCAGACCACGTGGAAGAGCTGACCTCCAGGCCTCGCACCAGCTGACCGGGGCTCCTTCCCCACCTCATCTCTCAAGGGCCATCTACTCTCTTTTCCCCCAATTATTAACGCTCATGGTGCAGGCATAGGGCTTCCCTGTACCTGGGCAGGAGTATACGTATACTTGGAATGTGAGCAATGTCGGAACAGGGGTCTGCGCCACATCTGGTGGCCGTAAATTTCCCCTGCTCACCTGCGCTGCCCTGTGGGAGCGATGGGTTCTCTGAGGGCTGCCTGTCCTGCATGTTACAAGCGGTCGACTCCTTCCAGGAATAGCAAACAGCAGCCCCCACATGTCTTTCAGCAGACAGCCAGCCCCCAGCTCAACTCCCCGCCTCTCCCCTGCCTCCTGCACCCCGAAGAGCCAGCCTGGCTGTGTGCTGGAGCTCCTAGGGGTACATGAGGGAGAGGGCTGGGCCTCAGTATCCGCTCCCTCTCTGAAGCTTCTGGACCCACCCTATCAGTGACAATTAAAGGTGGCTTTCTGTCTCTCCAGAGACTCCAATTTCAGCCTCTGTTTCCAGGACCAGAGTAGCGGGGGGGAAAAGGTGGAAAGAGGCAGGGGAGACCTGAATAGGGGCACCTAGTAAAATAACAGGGAGTTCAAGGTGAGGTTGACAGAAATGATGTTAAATGTTCCAGCTTCAGCTCTCCTTCCAACACCTTTTCCCCTACCCCTTGAAGAACTTTAAAATGTTGGGCCTTGATTCACAGATCAAAGGGATGCAAGCTGAAGAAGCAAAACCAGGAGCCCTTGTCCTCCTTCCTCCTGCTGCAGGCAGTGGGGCCTCTAGTAAAGAGAAGTCTCATCCCAAATATGCCCGCAACTGTCCTGACCCAGGAAAGAAACCCAAGCATGGCACCTGGCACAGTATGGCTAGCTGAGGAAGGAAAAGCAGAGTCTAGCTGTTTCCTCCTAGCATTCTTGTGGAAGGAGAACCTTTTGGGATTTAGCCCTTTGGTTGGGAAACCAGGCCCGACAGTACTGAGCCACATTACAGCCCGGGCACAGCAGATGGGACATTATACACTCTGATGCTCAAGATCTTGTGGCATGTGATACCAGAAGGCACTGTTAAGGTCTTTCCAGCACTGTTTCATCTACTTCCAGATCTAGCCCTGTGAGGCCGGTTGGGTGGGGAGCATTTAACCACTGAGAAAACAAAGGTGCTAGAACAGCTAAAACAAAGGTCCATGGTGCAGTGAGGGTAACTTCTGTAATGTGAGGTCAAAGATGACACTGGTGCCTACAAAACTCCAGGCCTGAACCAAGTCAACCCTGATCCTGAGATTTCCCTTGGATCAAATCTCCAGAATGCCTTTCCTATCATTAGCCTCTTCCTCCAGTGAGCTGAGATGTCTCTTAGCTGGATTTCAGTTAGATAATGTTTATGTGCTCATTATTTTGTTGAGTGCATCTTTTTTTCCCTTTTGTTTGCAAAAGTAAATCTCAAGCCCCGTGTAGATGTCAATTGATTAAGACCACATTCAGCCATGTGTGGATAACCTCTCCATTAGGGCAGGAGGGGCTCCTCTGCAAGGATTGTTCTTCACTCCTTGCTGAATGTGGATCACAGGTTCAGATCCCAGAGTATCTGGGGTACAGGGCCACCAGGCAACACTAAAAGCACATGGGCTCGAAAAGAAAACAATACCTTTGTAAGCTGTTCTAACCACCTTTTAAAGATTTGTGTGTGTGCTTCTAATATAAAAAGATTTGTCTCTCCTCCTTAGCTTCCCATTCTATTTCACCATCTCTTCAAAATCATGTCCCAGAAAGCCTGAAAATTCACCTTCTGGCTATGCAGAAAATTAAGCAGACGCAAAATCAGTGGAGAGGCAACTCTGAAGTTTACATCTGAGGATTTGCCAATATAGCTTTCACATATTGTCTGATTAAAAATAGGACATTCTATTATAAGAAAATAAAATTACCATGGCAACATTTTCCCAACACAGTTCCTAGTCACATGAACTTGTGTTTTTTTTTAAAGTGACACCAAGGTGGCTTAAGAACAATACACCACTAGCAATGACCAAGCACAACTGAATTCCCTAAAATGGCATCCTTACTTTCCCAATCGACTCACTAACTCTCGCGATGATTTCTGACTTTTAACAACTGCCAAAATAGGATTTTTTATTTATCAAGACCACATAACTCAACCCAAAGTACTCCATGCAACTGTGGTGGAGCTATTCAGATTCCAGACTTCTACCAAGAACAATCCAAAAGACAAACTCCCCAAGTGGCCTCCTGAATGGTACTGGACAACCCAGGTTGAAATTTCCAGAGACCAAAGGGATCACATTAAGATCTAGATTTTGGAAAACTATTATCAGTCAACATTGACAATGAGAAAAAGCAAAGTAACTTTTCAGAACACAGGGTTAATTACATCTTTATACAGCTTTGAAAAAAAGCTAACACACAATTCACTCTTATTCATAAAAAAAATGAGGCCATTAATCTAATTAAGAAGACTGGGAAAGGTGCAGGGAAGTAAATGATTTGGGAGGTCTTCCGAGAACAAGCACACAGGGTCAAGTACTAAACAACATCATTCAATTGACAGGCACTTGGCTACCATGTACAAAGCTGATGACAGCAGCCTGTCCCACCTGTGATGTGAAATGTCTCTGTGTGGATCTGCATGACTCACCTATTCCAGTCTGTGGCCGGCAGCAAGGAATCCTGAAATTCTCCTTTTTGCTCTTGCTTATAAGCTTATGATCCAGTAGCACTTGTTACTCAATTAATTTTTAAAATGTTCAGCTATACCCTGCAAATAAATACAAAACACTTCTGTACCCCCATAGTCCCACCACCATAAAAGGTTATATGTAAGTTAAATACACTCAGCTTTCTTAGCCATTTTTGCAGCTTAAGTGTGTCCTGACCCTAGATGATGATAAATTCAATTTATATCCAAAATATATTTAAATATTCTTAAGGTATCATATCAGACCTAAGTTATCAAAAAATGTAAACAAAATTTATCTAGCTTATAGTTATAAACCACTTTTTAAAGTTTTTAATTCACCCTGTACTAACCCTCTAAAAAAACTAACCATGTCACATTTAGACCGAAAAGCTGATACGGATTTTTAAATGGTTCCTCAGAGACAACTGCCAATTACTAAAGCTAGTGTTACTGAATCTAGTTGTTTATTGCATCACTCAATTTAAAAGACCAAAATAATTCCATTTTGATCTTCCAACAATGCTCTTTGTGGATGAGCCCCCAGATATCGCTGTCTGAAGTAAAGGTGCTGAACTGGAGATTCTGCAGTAACGCTCAGCACAAAACCGGAACTGGGTTCATGCCTTCAGCTGATGCCTTCAACCGCACCTGTTTTAACATTCCCAGTTCTTGGGATCAGTACCCTTTGGTCGAAAGAAGCTTCAAGGATGGAAACTTGAGGTGAAGTTGAGAAGCAAAAAAGCGAAACACAGATCACCCTGGTAAGAAAGTCTAAGGACCCCTTCTTCCCGTAACATCATCCTCACACTCCACAGTCAGCCTGCTTCTCCTGAAGCTGCCTCGTCAGTATCTGATATGAAGACAGAAAAGCTACTCCTATGTGGAAAAGGATTTGCCAGAGGTTCCTCAGCCCATGCAGGTACACGTTGCCCAGGCAAATAAAGAGCAGCATCAGCACCACCTTCGTAGTCCTGGCGGGACTGTAGAACAGGTACAAGTAACACTGAAATGACACCAGAAGAGGAAGTCCAATCAGAGATAAGCAAATGGCCACAAGGTCAGGCGCAAGGCTCACTTACTGCACCCGCCCTGCAGTGTCCTCTCACACACATTAGTTATGAAACTCAGTTCACTACAGTGAAGCTTGGACTCACTGGATCAGCTGCTGCTAATCACTGGATGAAAGTGGGGATTTGGAAGAGACAAGAGAAGTGAAATAGATGTCACAGGAGAAGCTAGAACACAGCACTCTTGAAGGAATTTAAGAAATACAGACAAACGCCCAGGCTAGGCTG